CCCAGAATCCCTCAACCAGCAAAGGGAATTTGATTAGAGGATCTGGTTTTGTAAAAATTTTTTCCCTCCCAGGGATTCATATAAAAATCTGACTCCAACTGTTGTTGTGTTTTGGGGGGGGGTTTTTTGGGGGGGGGGGCTTGTTCTCCTTGCAGAATGGAAGGAGCCCTCGAAAAGCGCGTACACACAACACACAAAAGGAAGCCACGGGAGGGTGGTTCAAAGCGGGCTTACGGTGTCGCTGTCGCACGGCTGAAACTGGAAGGACTGCGGCTTGTGAAAGACTGAGTTTTCTTGCAAGAAGAGCTGAAAATTGTAATCGCGCACTACCTGAAAAAAAGAGAAGAAGCAGACGCGTTTAACACCTGTGTCGAAAATCGCGAAGGAGCAAGTCCTCGACTTACAACGGTTCGTTTAGTGACCGGCAATCCAGTAGCGGTTGTAATCCACTCGCTCTCCTCCCAAAGAGCTTCCTTTTCCAAATTAATTTGAATTTCCAAAATTGTGTCTAATCCCATTCTATCCTTTTTCTTTAATAATCGCCATCTTCATTTAACCCCACCCCGCCCTATTTTTTGGGGGGTGGAGTCTGAATGGAGCAAGCAGAATATTTGAATGGCCAGATGCCGTTCCTGTTGCCAATGCGGAGTTTTCTTCAGCAGGTACAGTGTATTCTCGTTGTTCGAAGTTACGACAGCACTGGGAAAAAGTTACTTATGGACATTTTTCACACTTAACGACCGCTGCAGCATCCCCATGGTCACGTGATCAAAACTCAGACTCTTGGCAGCTGACTCGTATTTATGACGGTCGCAGCGTCCCTGGGTCATGTGATTGCGACCTTCTGACAAGCAAAATTGATGGTGAAACCAGATTCGCTTAGCAACCGTGTTGCAAACTTAACAACTGCCGTGATTCCGTTAACAACTGCGGCAGGAGAAGTTGTAAAATGGGGCAAAATTCACTTGTCTCGCTTAGCGATGGAAATTCTGGGCTCCACTGTGGTCGTATATCGAGGGACTTCCTGTACAGGGAGTCCTTCAATTGCGACCGCAATTGGGATATTGCAAGTCCCGTCGCTAAGCAGAGTGTTTGTTACAGGAGACATTTCCGATTTTATGGTCATTTTTGCGATTGTCGTTAAGAGAGCCACACAGTCCTTAAGTGAACCTGCCTTCCCCACTGACTTTGCAGGTCACAACTGCAGACCATGTGATTCTCCAGGATGTTGCAATCGTCATAAATACATTCCAAGGGTCTGGGTTTTTGATCATGTGATGTGGGAACGCTGCAACGGTTGTAAATGTGAGGATCGTTATACGCCACCTTTTTTTCAGCACCGCTGTGAATTCAATTGGTCACTAAATGAATGGTCGTAAAGCGAGGACTTACCTGTGGTAAAGTTATTAAAACATCACATTTCTACAATTACACTGCATGTGGACAATGGACAGATTGAGTGGCGCGGTGGCCTACAGGTGGCGCTCTCGCCTCACAATCAGGAGGCTGTGAGTTCGATCCTAGGGAGAGGCAGATATTTCTCTCTCTCTCTCTCTGGGCACAATGAGAATAATATTATCTGCTGAACAAAACTCCTCATTGGCGACAGGAAGGGTGTCTGGCACTCAGGTCCATTCAGTTGTCCAGACTCCACCCCGCAAGGGATTATGGGGTCATTAAAAGGAAATGATGATGATGATGAT